TCCATGAACTCCGTATGGTGTCCTCTTAATACAGTAGGGAGATATATGGTTTTCCGTACGCGGAATATATACGGCTTGTAGTATTGAAACCCTGAATGTAAGTGTAACGGCAGGTCGGGTTCAAAATTATTCGGGAATCGAAAAAGTTTTTGAAGACCGAATTATACCCTTTCTTCGAGCATAACATTATAAGAAGACGTAATTTTCTACCAAATAGGTAAAAGTGTGAATATTTTTATGCATGTTTTTTGTGAAATACAAGTGAATTTTTAAGGGCATCGAAAATCAATGAGAAGTACGTATACTACTTAAGTAGCCATTTTTTCAAAGTATAGTTTTTGCATGCAGCCAGAAGAAAGTTCTTTAAAGAGCCAGCATCCTGAAGTAACTTAATTATTATAGAATTGTACTGAACGATGATTTGTTTTACAACCCCACTCAATTAATCTTTTCGAAATGAAAACGCATTTCGGAACTTCGGTTGACATTTCTTGAGTAAGCTCTCCCTCGGGAGACCGATTAGTAATAGAACACTGCTTAGAATTAAGCAAGTTGAACCAAGAGGGTCCACAAGCATGTAAGACGGCGGTTTTATTTCTCGTACACTAAGAGTACCATTATATGCCCCTTAGGACTATTCACAAGGAACATGTGTCAAAGGATGAAGTAATTCGGCCTCGATATGGCAAAACGCTAAGACAAGGCGATTTTAGGCAGAAAAATTATCAGACAACGTTTCATATTTGTCCGAGAGTATGTTAAGCAGATACTTCCATTCTGGAATAGCCCTTTCTTTTGATATGAAGTCTTACTTTTAGACAGGCCTCCGAAGTCGACCCTGGTGATCATACGTGAGAGATACTTCCCCCAAGAACACATTGCGTCGACAGCGACTTTCAACGAGTGATGATTTGAATGGCTATCAAATTCGAGAATGGTCAATCTGGCGGTTGATGTCGGAGAATATCAGAAGCAGGGTATTCACCGACATCCTGAAGGATGCCTTCGAATACAACAGTCCGAACCTCAATCCGTGCATTTATCAAAAGAAATTCGGACAAGGCAAGAAATAACTGTTCAAACCTGGAAAGGCTGAATTCTGTGTTTGCAGATATTTTAGACCAGCCCACAATAGACAACCTAAGGCCTGTAGGTTCATACCGAGAATCTGATCTACTCCAAGTTCATAGATAATTTCTGAGGAAATTAAAAAGCGACAATTTCTGAATTGGAGTACCTACCAGAAAACAGACGGGGAATGCTGGGGGATCCACTGACGAGCGGAACCCCTCGCAGCTGTGCCATGCAGCGGCAGAATATCGGCGAAACACGCGTGTATGGGCTTTTGGCTAGTACCTGTGTCGTTACTATGATATCACCTTACCCTAGAGTATACTACTAGCTGCCTGTCCGCATTTAATGAATATTACGCGGCAATCCGCTGTGGCTGATGGACTTCGGCCTAAATATTCATACATAAAATTCTCGGTCTGAGCCTATAGACCTTGAATAAACTGATCCACTTCGAGTTCGTAGATAAGTTCTGGGGGAATTAAAAAAAACGGCAATTCCGTATTATACGCGGTCAGGACTGTTGTCTTTTACCCGAAGACTTCTTCGAATTATCAACCACAATGAGCCTCCGAGATCATCCACTCAAATTACATGTGACTGGCGCCAGGGCGGACACACGGAAGTTCTTCTTCTCCTATACAGTGGTTGAAACTTGAACTTTTCTGCCTGCGGATATCGTTATTTCTACATCCGTCGAGGCTTTTAAGCACAAGGTGGATCAGTATACTACTGCACATTATAATGTCACCCGGCTGATACCGTCTTAACGCTCTGTTCGAACATTGTATCACCATTATGATGTTACTGTCTGTATTTCAGTAACGCTTGTTGAATTTTCAGTTTTATTGTCTCAAATTCATTGCACGAGGATATTGACACTCGCGTTGTTATCTGCTGATACTTGAAATCATACCATATATTCCATAGCTCATCTACTCATGGACCTACTACTGCGCAACGTACTTAGTAGTCCCAGTGTTTCTAACGCTTGGAATAATTCGTTTGTCTGTGAAGTTGAGACAACTTTTCCCCACCTCGCAACAAAGAGGGAGTTGAAAGCTGGAACACCTACATTTTCCTCGAATAAACTGATCTGAACAGGCTATCATGCAAGGAACTTTTCTGAATTTGCGCAACCGATGGTTGCCTAAATTGGTTGTATTGTATTGTATTGTATTTTTAGGGTAATAGGCAATGCCCTTGATGACCCTATTGAAAACGGTACATAAAATATAAATGTTAAATGTACATCTTACTAACATTTTGTCAGTAACATATTTGTTCACGGGAAACTTTCACAATGCGGGACTGCTAAGGGTGCGGCAGGCGGTCTTCTCAGTGTACACATGAAATTTTAAGTGCAATTATATACAATCAGCATAGAGTGCAGTCATTTGCATAGTTTGAGAGGGGGCATCTCATTAAGAGTCAGGGGTGTGTTAAGTAGGGATGAAATCAAGAAATGAAATTTATGGCTGGCCGCAGGTAGTCCTGTTGTGAAAGTCGTCGTTTATCAAATATCAAACGATCCAGCTGCCTTTTGAATACAGCGATTGTATCAGATGTCACTATTTCACTTGGGAGTGAGTTCCATGGCCGAACAACACGCTGGCTGAAGGAAAACCTCCGATTGTCTAGGCGTGTACGCTCCCGCTTGACTTTGTAAGGGTGACCGCGCAGGTGACTCGTGGTCGTGAATTCAAAAAAGTCGTCAGTTTTGAGCGAACATTCATGCCCGTGGATAATGCGGAATGTCCATAATAGGTCACACCTCATTCTTCTATAGGATAGGGGGAACAAATTTAACTGGATCAGTCTTTCTGGGTATGACAGAGTCCTGAGACCGTCCACCAGTTTTGTGGCCCGTCGTTGCACCTGCTCTATGGCATCACTGTCTTTCTTCATCCAGGGCATCCATGATGGCATTCCGTATTCCAAGTGCGGTCTGACGAATGTGCCGAATATCTGTGAGAAGAGTTCTGGAGGAAAGATTTTGAAGGCACGCCTAATCCAGTGCATGGTGCTGGTTGCCTTTTGGACGACTCTTTAAACTAGTCCAGTTAAGTGACGCGCTTCCATGCGCACCGGAAGTGCGATCTCATATTCTGTCGCACAATTTCAGCGGAGGTGACGGATCAAAGGCGGGTTGGCCTTAACTGACCATTTTTCAAGTAGGCATAATCATTTCAGAGCCCACCGCGGGAGTGTGGGTGTAATTCTGTGCGGCGTGGCAAGTGGGAGATGCCGCAATTTCGACGCAAAATATAAGGACCCAAACGGTCCAGATGCAGAGGTTGGGATCGGTTCATACTCTCATCGGTTTGATTTTATGGGATCCGCTAAGTCACGTTGAAAAAAGGCAGGGATTTCTAATCATGCATATCAGGCAGTACTTGATTCCTACCTTACGGCTTTGCCGTTTGTATTTTAAGAAATGATCTGACGTTTTTGCATTCATTGGTCCGGCCTTCAGTAGGAGAGGGAAAACAAGGCGTAAACTGTTAGCTTGAGTAAGGTTTTAACAAAATTATGTTGTCCCGCATCTATGAGGCACTCCATTGCCGGCGTCCCCTCGGTTCTAAACTATAAAAGTGACCCCCACGCAAATTATGAGTTCTGTTCACAGTGGGACGCTTGTCCCCATCGACCAATGGACTGACGCCAAGCCAGTGAATAGCACTCACAAGTCGTTTTGTTCAGGAAATTGACTAACGTCCGCCATTCTTCACCTTCTACGAATGCTCAGAACGGGGCAACTGATAGACGTTGAGCGATGCGAGATAAAGGCATTGCATGCAGTTCGATCTTAGAAGTAGAGAAGTCGGTTGGCGCCTGAAGATATGGAAATTCGTTTTAAATAACCGCACTGCATCCAATGAAAAGGTTAGCAGGAAGTAACCAATCTTAAGAAATGGGAGAATAAACTATATATGTACCTCAGACGATTGGACCAGTTGTATGCAGTAGCGTTCGCAGCACAGGGCGAGCTTTGGCGTAGGAGCATTTAATGACCAAAAGTCACAGGATCACGAAATGTGCATCACTATCTGTTTGCCGTAGGTTTCGACAAATACCACTGTTGACAAAAAGTCATCAGGAACAACAGATTCGCAGGGCTGAAGTGCCCATGTCTCCAGTGCAGTCGGCGCGCTGAGAATGGCCTTATAATTGTGGCCTTGGCTATCCATATTATCGGACGGTATATTGGACTACTTTATGGCTAACATTTGTACGCTCTAGAAACTGCACATTTTTGTGCAAAAACAGATGATCTTATGATTGTGAGACATACTGCAAATCAGAAGAACGTTAGATATGTCAAGTCCGGCCGTCTGTGCCCGCGCGGCCGCTCGCAAAACCGCGGCATAGGAACAAATAATCAATAATCGATAAGTTACTGACGCACGCTGGGACGAACGTTATGGCCTCCTCTGAGACGTCTGCAGAGCTAATCATTCAGTCAGAGCCAATTCGGCGCCGCTTGTCGTCCGAACCGAGCCGGTGCACCCCTGTGTCAGTCAGAGGGTGTTTGCTGGTGGTCTTCAAGAAAAGAAAACCGTAGCCTGACGCGCCCTCTGAGGTGCCGTGAGATGCATCCGCATATTTCGATTTAGTTCACTATCAACGTTGCCCACAACGGAGGACATGACCTTGGAAGAGAACAAGTCATCTCTCACGGTCGCTACTGTGATTCCAAACTTTCCTTCCTCTTAGTATCAATGACAATTCACTCCGCATGTTACTAATAGTTAGTAATTCCTATTCGGTGGAAGTTCGTGGATTAAAATGGGTATAGTCCCTACCAGGGAAAGTTCTTCGGCCCTTTTTAGCCAGAAATACCAGCAAAAGGATACAGCAGGTTAGCGTAAACGTTAAATTTAATGTAATGCTACAATACAGGAATGGTACACGGATTTCGGCAGGTTCTACATTCGATGACGGAATCCACCACAGATCGCCTCACACTCCTCCTTGGTCTCGAAACGATTATAATTGCCACCACAGCCGCCATACACGAATTCCACACAGGCACCCAACTGAGGATTGAAGGCATACATTGGCATCCGCGCTCTGCACCTGCCAGTCAGGATAGGCATGTAGCAGGGGTGCACCCATCCTGAAGAGGAGAAAGAATGCGTGAGGGGGGTTAGGGCTAAACTCCGATCTCCATTCAGCATTTGTGCACTAGTTCCTGAGTGGAAGATAGGGCGGAATAACAGGCTGGCCGGCGAGTACAAGTGCGTTGTTGGGGCGTCTCAGCTGGAGACGCTTGGCGATGTTGGACGTGATGTGATGAGAGGATGAGGAGGAAGTGAAGGCCTTTAAGGTTTTGCCTCAAAACAAACAGGGTTAAATAATGGCTGCCCTTCAGTTATGCTGCCGCCTTATGTGCTACCAGTTTGAACTGGCAATGAGACGCAACGCAAATGCTGAGTTGCGTTCACAGTAGAATGACGACGGTCCAGTGAGTAGCACTCACGAATACCTTTTACCTCCAAAATCGACTAACATCATCCGCTTTCGACTTTTCTGAATGCCCAGACCAGTGCAACTGGCGGATTTTGGACAAGGGGTGGGGGATTATGGCGTTGCGTGTGTGAGGCGGGTTAGGGCTGAAGGCTACTCCACTACTTTAACAGTTTCTAAAAAGACGTTGCTCCGTCTCATCCGGGTACACATAAACATATCTGGCATAACGTCATGCAGACCATCTATGAGGTTAAATAACCGTAAACTCATGACCGAATTTGTGAATTCAAGGCTGCGCTAGGTGATGTTGGGGAGTCGCTCAAGAAAATTAAGTGCACAACTCACCCTCAACTGTTACCACGGAGAGGAGGCAGGCGGCGAATAGAAGAGCAATCATCGTTTGGAACTGATGTCTGCGCTAGCCGTTTATGGGCATATATTTATAGACATTTTACTAAGTCTCTGAGACGACAATTTGTCATTGACTACAATGCAGGAAGTAATTTGAGGACAGGGTGGGGAAGGGCGTAGTTGTTGCGCAACGCCGGACAGCGTAATTGCTGGCCGCTGATCGTCCTGCCAGAATATGCTGACGCGCGTGTGGGAAATTTTCGAGAACGGAGCCGTCCCGCCTCGGCGATGACATTTACGGTGCAGTAAATTATGCCAAAATTGACTGAGTTCGCACTCACGCAACTGAGGGAGCTCAGAGCCGGCTGGACATAATCCACTTTAGCTGTCGAGAACCGAGGCTCACTCGGTTTTGCAAAAGCACAATCGGCTGACAAGAGCCATGACGGAAAAAGGCCATAGGGCAGAAATAGTCGCTTCCGGCCCAATTAAGGTTGTGGACGGGCCATATTTGATGCTTGATCTTAACGTACCAATAGCTGCTGAACGGAACGACCACCTATAGGATCCAGTCGAAGTTGTGTCACAAGGGTGTCCACCGATCTGTTATCTAACGCGGGTGTTCGGAATCAAGCCCCAGGGGTTGGGAACCTCGGGGCTGGGTATGACTGGCCGACGGCAGCTAATAAGTCAAAAATATCTTTGTCGGTAATGCCATTCTGCTTGTAATACTGGCCGCTGAGCGGCTGTCGGCGAGACTCGATATTGAGCCGCAAAGCACAACGGAACCAGGAGTCCCATAACGCAATCAGGGGGGTTTCCAGTTACCATTGTTAGTAAACAGCATCTCAGACGGCAGCGCAATGAGCCGTGCCTAAATTCTTAGGATGTTGCATCGTAACCAACAAGCCGGATTATCGGCCATTCCACTCTTTTTTGTCTTTCTCGTTAATGCTATCCAATCAGCAGTTCTACAAATTGCATCAGAATTGCGTCCACCGACCTGAACTGCCTGCATGACAACCCTAGTTTCCCTTGACCCAGACTGGATGTGTACCGCTACATCACAACCGAAACGTGTGCCTGATTTGACTTCCAAAGTCAAGCCGGCCCGGCATGTCCTCTTGTAATCGGGATCCGTTAAAAAAGTAGAGCAATTAGCCCATACGTTCAATTGCACACTAAATTAGCACAGAGTTCTGGGTTCGAGCGCTGAATTATCGGAATCTGGGGTTGGAACACGGTTAAATTTCGTCGGTTAACAGGCCGGATATGTCCATCCCACTCTACACTGTTGGCAGTAATTTTGCCGGACTACTTCCACTTTCGCATGCTAGGATTGTAGGATGAGCTCGAAGTCACAACGGGAAGAGTCTGACGGACAATGGGGGCAGATCGCCGAACAACCCCGCATATATTAAAAATTTTTGCAATTGTCGATTACGTGTTCCGATTTGAGATCTTGGCAGTTAAATCCGGACGCTGGGTATCACTAGCTGATCCCGCCTGATCAATCAAAAGCAGCCATAATTATCGATTTTTTTTCTCTCGTAGCATGTAATCAATGTTATGGAATGCATTTAGTAACAGCTAAATTTCACTAGTGATGGAAGATTTAAGGGAAAATGCACCCGTCTGTACTAATGCATATGTCACCCAAAGAAAATAAGACAGGCTCCATTGAATTATATAAAGGCTCACATGTCGTCCCTCAAAAGATAACGACCTCTCAACTGCATTGCCTGGACTTACTGTATTCCTGACCGATGACGTCTCATAAGACGGAAACTGTCATCTTAGTCTCTCGCATCCTGTTTTAATAACATATTTTGATTTTTTCCCAGATCTTGGCATTAGACCGTTTGCAAGCACTCAGCATTTGGAGAACAAGCTACAGTTAGTGATCGATCTCATACAATATTGGCCGAAATGGTGAACTGCGCATTCGATTAGAATGGATCGCGTAGACATATTTGCAATATTAATTGTGCAATCATATTCCAGGCACGGCAGTATGTTGGCTTTTGGGCGCAGTCCTTTTCAGCCATTTAAAAAACCGCACTCGACATGCAATATATTTGCTGATTTTAGATGTCCTTATATATTCAGAAATATTTTGCAAAAAACAGGAACAAAATATCCTTTCTCGTACTTTTTTAACAGCAACTCATGTCTTCTTCAAAGTTTATATTCTAATAAGGAGCACTTTTCATTTATAAAAACACTTTTGAATTTCAGAACAATTTTGAGCTCGATCTGCCGTTGCATTTGCGTTTAGGGTTTCTAGCCTACTAACTTCATACTTTCCATGTAATTAAAAACATTAATTCCTCTATTCCACTAAGTAAATGCCAAATAGGGGTCATAAAATTTTTCACCATATGTGGACTATGTTGCATACTGCACGAGGAGCACTATTGAACAGATAGATACAATGCTATTTGAATGGATATTACACGGCCGTGAAAATCTCACAATTCAAATTTCTTTTAAAATCGAAAGACAACCCTCCTTCGAGTGAAAAATTCGAAGAAAACGTATTTTACCACAAAAGGAATACATTAAGAATAGTGTTATATATGCCTCTTATACAGTATTACTTAGTTCGTAAATCTATGGAAAATCTATAGAAAATATTTGTGTATAGTGTATTTTAGGGTAATAGGCGATGCCCTTGATGACCCTATTGAAAACGGTACATAAAATATAAATGTTAGATGTACATCTTACTAAACGTTTGTCAGTAACATATTTGTTCACGGCAAAATTTCACACTGCGGGACTGCAAAGGGTGCACTATACAAGTAGCCATTTTGTGCCGGCTGCAGTCATTGCAGGCGGGCGAAAGCCAACAGACAGGCAGCAAGATAATAAATTTTACAACCTCACCTGAGTAGTTCTGTTTAAGGAGCTAGCTCCAATTTGTGCCCTGGAACCAGGATGAACCAGTGGGAAAAATCTCAGCCTACGTTGTGTGCTTGGGGTTCAGGCGTCTGGCTATCAAAATTTGGCATTGGATATCACAAGTCGACCGCGTCTGATAAGATATAGGTGGCCGTAATTATCGCTTCTGCCTCTCAGTTTTTACCCAGTGCTACTGAACAGATATTGGTAACGGTTCATATTCAGTAGTCCTGGAGGAATTAAGGGAAAATGCTCCGATCTGCTAGAATGCATTGGTTCCTATAAGGATTACACATAGGGCTACAGACCGTCCTTGCATGGTCTGGATTTGAGCACGTCTGAGTGATGACGTCTCATAAGTCATAAATTGCCATTTCAGTCTCCCGCGTTCCATTTTCGTAACACTTTTGATTATTGCTCAGTTGTAGTCATTAGAGCGTTTGCAAGAGCTCTGCACTCGGCCTGTCATGAGGAACTGAATCCAAATTTTGTTCTGAAACCAGGATAAATCGGTGTGTTTCATGCTCAATTTACGTTGCGTACTCGGGATGGCAGCCGCCAAAGCATGAATCCCAGGAGTCAGCCTGTTCGGCCCAAAAGTTGAATGACCACCCTGACTGGACCTTCTGTGCACGGGTGATCCACTGAATAGGCCTAGGGTGTGACCGACTCCCACGATCGTGCCTGCGGAACCGACAGTTGGACTGTCGCATCCGATATGGTCCATCGTGTGCTCCACAGCAAGGAGAAGCAGGAACGGTGACTTGTGTGCGAATTATTTCATGATGGTGGGAGACTTACACGGCATCTAACACATTCCCTCCTCTTCCTTCTCCTCCTACTTCTCCTCGGCCGCCGCCACCTGGACCCGGTGTGATGACAGAGTCAAGAAGATCAGGGGCAGGGAGGCGCAGGTAGATGGGAAGCAAGAGCCCACACTCTGACGCTCCACTTCACACCCCTGGTCCACACATCAAATGACCAGGATTTTAACCAACAACACAATTGAGGGAAGGGAGGGGCCGACAGTAGGCGTCCCAATGTACCCGATCTCTGTCGTCAGCTGGGTCTGTCACCTAAACCTCGAGATGTTGATATTTGTCATGATGCGCGATGCCAGAATCCGAATTGGCCCCCGTGTTGGTCCAGCGCATCTATCGCTTGCCCCGTTGGAAGGAGGGGGCACAATGCCGTAACCACCGCAGTACACAACCTCACCCCACCCCCCCTCAACTCTCCACCATGGTTAAGAGATGAATATTAAACTTCCTCAACTAGCATGTGACGCATGTATGCCCATGTCTGTAAATAACCGAAACCAAAACGCTGACTCGTAGTGGTTGGAAGTGTCCTTTGCCAGCTCTTGTAAGACCAACTCTGCAACAGGGCTGGATATCAGGAAACCCGTTGGCGTCCCGAGTATGATAACAGGGGATCGTTGCGCTTGCTGATGTATGGCGGGCCTGAGAACCATGATTCGAGCAGATCGCGGCTCACGTGGTTGTCACCCCTTGCGAGGACACCGAGTCCCGTCGAATGAGCCGTCGCGTGAGATGTAGCTTCTTCCCTCCTCACCGTTGCTGCTTACTCAGCCATCCGCACCCGGAGAAATCGCCCACTTTCTCCGGCTTAAGTGCTCTGTTCGCAACTGCTCCAGACCCGGTAAACGACTGTACACGTTTCCTACTGTGGCAGTGAGTCTTTCGGCCTCATGACCCGGCGTCTGATGGTTGCTTCTAGCCTGCGTGCAATCTCAACTGCAAATGGAGTGAGAAGACGGCTGACGGCTCCCGAGACGTACATCACTTACGGAAGAGCTCACCAAAATTTAGGACCAATCGCATTTGGTCGCCGTAGTATCGTTGGCGAATGTACTGGTTGGTTAAGTTGCGTGGGTAGCCATTAGGTCTCAGTACCCGCCGAAGATATTGTAATTCGGCAACCTTGTCTTCCATTTCACTGCAGTGCGCCTCAACGCGACGCTATAGCGTCGTTACGCAACTGCGTTTGTGACCGATCGGGTGGTTAGTGTTGAAGTTCAGTACTTGCGTCGTATATGTCGCTTTCCTGAACACTTTGGTTTTTAGGCCACCACAATCTTTGTGGCAGACGAGGACATCCAGGAAGGCCAGCTGATTGTTTTCCTCCTCCTCCATCGTAAATTGAATGTCTGGGAAGACGGCGTTGAGACGCTTTTTGACGACGACGATATCATCCGCATATTGAACCCAGAAGGTCGGTCTGCGGTGCCAGAAAACAAGAGACTTCAACCGTCTTAGAATCGCTTTGGCTTCGAGTCTCGAGATCGGCGAATATTTTGGCGTGCCCTCCACATGCTCGTATATTGTTCCATCGAAAGTAAAGTACGTCTTGGGAACGGTATGGTGAAGTAGCATAATTAGCTGTTGATATAATCTGGGTCGTGTGTTGATGTATGTACTTGCGAAATCTAACTGTGTGCCCATGACTGGTAGTTGTACCCGAGAGCGGAGAAACAGAATGCGGATGACAGAAATGTCTGTCAGGGGATAGATTCGGTTGTCCAATGGTCGGGCACTTTTTTAAGATTGAGCCTCATGGAATATCCAGCTGGATACATTCATAATTTTGCCCGAAAGCATCGTTTTTGTCACCGACCCTCTTCTGTGTTTTCCTGCACCCCGTCAGCCTACTTTGCAGCGTAAAATCCCCCATTACCACGATATTCATATGAGACGATTCACAGTATTTCGGTGACTAATTGGGGCCCTTCATCCTACCGTTGCTAAATATCCATCGACAGAAGAAAAAGAATTGCAGTAAATGGTCTATTTTTAGAGGTCTCCTTGTTTCTTCACACTTTTCCTCGAGCCGTTTGCATAGAACTTTGCGTGTCAGGCCCGATGTGAATAATGGAACCACGTCGAAGGGACGGGTAGTTTTTCTCCTTGTCTCAGCCAGGAATTGGGAAGCCGTATTGATGAACATCCTTGAGACCCCTCGGAGGAAATTCCGTCTTCGAGATATTTATTTGAAAAGATTGTGGGTGGGACTACCTTACAAGAATTTACCTATTCACCCGTCAGAAGGTGCATATTATTTGTAGCTTTTCAAAAGAGAGAAGAACACAGACCAGGTGTAGTCGTGAAAAATAAGGAAATTGCAATCATTCAAAATACACATTTTAAGCTTGGTCAACCTCGATCCCCATCTAGGCCCACTTTTTAACATTTTGATCGAATCATACCGCACCATGTACTAAAAGAGGGGAATCATGGACTAGGAAAAGTTACATAGCGTAGATGAACCAGGACAGTCGTCTTCATCCCTGCCTGAAGATGATGGGAAAGAGAGTATTCATATCACCTAGAACTAAGGAAAACTGCTTATTCTTGCGTAGAAAGACGTAATTTTTAAAACTAGAATTAATCTCTGCGGGCAAAGGATTGCTAATTCTTGTTCATTTTTTTCGCCTAGCATATCGAAAGCGAGCGGCAGTTTGATATGCTGGTTGAATTAGTTGCCACTAATGGGAGACATACTCATCCGCTAGCGTGAAATCCGGTCGGCATAACACTGTCAAATGGTCTAAATCGAACCCGCGCTCTGATTCAGATGAGTGAGCAGTCATCGGGAGCACTTTGCCGTCTTGCCCATCGGCAGGTGCGTGTTCACGCATCCCCGTCCGGAATTGTTCACCGGCCTAACTAACTAGTGAGGGGATGTTGGGCTGTGCACTCGCTCCTACCCTCTTTAGCCTTATGTTCTCCACCCTGCTTATGGATGTCTATCGTGTGGCATGGACTGAAATGCAGGTCAGCTTCCGAACCGACGACAGGCAAAAGTTCAGATCAGACTTATTAAGGGCAAGGTAGACGAGCGTCTCTGAACTCCCTTTTGGTTACAATAACGTCAAAAAAAACAATGTGCAAGGCAAATGTCGAAGAAAACTAAGTAAGTAATTACATACAACAAGTTTGGCCACTGGTATAACTTCGTCTGCGAATGCCTACTATGTCAAAATTGTACAATATCCAGTAAGGTAGTGAATGAACCAAGTAATATCGAAGCAAGCGAATATGCTGCGGTCAGGAGAAAGCGAAAATGTTAAAACGTAAGGTTAGTAAAAAATAGGGAGTAGCATGCTTTATAACGTAAAACGCTGAGTGAGGGCGGATGGTACAGGGAGGAAATTTGATAGTTTCTGATGCTGTGGAGGTGCATTTCCCTGTACTGGCCAAGCTTGCTCTTAAACGAGTCCACGGATGAGGACATGACGACGTCCACAAGCAGGGCATTCCATGCCTTTACCAGTCTGTGGCTGAAGAAGGACCTCCTTGCGTCCAGTCTCGCCCCTGCCACGCGTAGTTTCAGAGGGTGTCCTCTCAAGCTTGTTGTGGTGGCCAGTTGAAAGAAGTCGCCGGACGCGAAACAGCAATCCTGACCCCGTAGCATTCTAAATGTTTGAATTAAGTTGTCTGTAGTCCAGGGGAAAGAGGTTAAGATTTGACAGTCTAGTTTCGTAAGGTAGGTTTTCATGACCTCTGACAAGCTTGGTTGCCCGTCGTTGGACTTTTTCGAGAGTGGTAGTATCCTTTACAGTCCAGGGTCTCCAAGCCTGAATGGCAAATACTAACTGTGGACGCACAAACATCCCGAAGACCTTGCGAAAGCACTCTTCGTCGAACTTGGCAAACGCCCGCTTGATGAGGTATAAGCTCGACATTGCGGATTTCGCTGCTTTCAAGCAGTGGAATGATGGCTTTAGTAAAGATGTTATCCACACACCTAGATCCTTCTGAACCTCTACCAGTGGCAGCGGTGTGTGATTTAGATAGTACGTCTGCCGATGCGCAGAGCTGGTTCTGCCAATCCTCAGAATGTTGCATTTGGTAAAATTAAATGGGAGGAGCCAGTGGCCTGACCATTGTTCGAGTCGGTCTAGGTTTGCCTGTAAATTTGCTTCATCGTTCTCGTTGCGGATGACGGTCCAAAGCTTTATATCGTCAGCAAACATAGCAATGTCGCAGTCCAAACCATGGATGCAGTCATCAATATAAATGAGGAAGAGGATAGGGCCAAGAACGGAGCCCTGAGGTACTCCGCTCGTAACCGTCACCTATGCCGATTGTTGGCCACCAAGACGGACATTCTAAGACCGACCGATCAAAAAGTTTTCAATCCATTTCAAAAGCTTGCCCCTTACCCCTATGCGGCTCAGCTTGTAAAGGAGACGTTGATGTGGCACGCTGTCAAAGGCCTTCTTGAAGGCTTGGAAGACGAGATACAGAGACTCTGCCAATTCTGTGGCTAATTCCTTCAACAACTTTGCCGGTATTTCGTCAGGACCGGGCGATGTTGCTTCTTTTAGCTTCAGTAATTCCTGTTGAACAATAACTTTTGTGAGGAACACTGAATCAGTTGTCGGGACATTGTCCACATTATAGTGATCAGCGGGTACAGCGACCTCTCTCTTAAAAACCGACTGAAAGAACCAGGGTAGATGCTCAGCCTTTTCGTCGTCCTTGTAAAGTTCAACGCCATCATCTCTTTTTAACAATAGGCATGGGATCCCTGTTGCGAGTTCTTTGTCTTATGTAGTTGAAGAAAAGCTTTGGATTTTCTCTTGCACAGTTTAAAAGGTTACCCTCGAAGTCTTGGCGGGCTTTGTAAACAAGGCACTTTACCCTGTTCCGTTGAGCCTTGTGCCTATTCCTTTATTGGATTGTCTTATCCCTAAGATAAGCTTTCCACAGCTTTTACTTACAGTTTACTTCAACTTTTAGGGAACACTTTAGCCATCGGGGCCTGCTGGTGATTTTCTTTTTCGATATTGGGCAGTATCTGGTGATAAGTTCATTCAGTATGGCCTTAAGTTCTAGCCAGTCCTTGAGGACACACCCCGTAAATGCTGCTTTCCAGTCTCTACGACGCATGTCGAGGCGCATTTGGTTGAAGTCACCACGCCATATGTTGCGTCTGATCTCGATGTCTTGATCAGGTACAGAGAAGAGAAAATACTCTCACTGTAGGACTACATGGTCGCTTTTTCCGAGAGGGGGTAGACAGTTTACAACATCAACGCTTTCCGGTGCCTTTGTCAATACAAGGTCTAGGCAGTTAGCTAGTTGTCCTTCACGTAGTCTGGTTGGGGATAAGACGTGTTGTGTGAGATGCGATCTTTGCACAGAATTTAGGAGGCGGCGATCAAAGTTAAATTCTGAGCCTGAGGCAGAAGTCAGATTCCAGTCGATATTCGGAGCGTTAAAGTCGCCCATAATCATGACATTTGGTCGGATCGAAATCGCTTCTAATTCCTCTAGTAGACTACTGTCTGATTGTGAGTCGTTCCTCGGTGGGCGGTAGACCGTCAGGATCTCGAGAGGTTGTGACCCCGGCGTTTTGATGGTGAACCAAATTTTTTCAGTTGTGCGCGCGAGCTGTCCCTCTTTTTCTGACGCAAAAAGGCCATATTTGACATATATAAGCACACCTCCACCTTGACGTTCCAACCTGTCCTTTCTGAACAAGTGATAACCGAATAAAGCGACTTCGCGATCGTCTACGCTCGCGGACAGCCACGTTTCAGTTATGGATATTACATCGGGTAAAGTTTGGTTAACGTCGATCTTAAGCTCATCTAATTTAGATAGCAGACTTTGCGCATTAGAATATAAGCATTTTAGCTTTTTTGCCTTTGGTAAGCCGGCTATGACGCCGCCTTTGACAATTGCCTCGGTTGTGGCGACACACGCACGGGCCGTGTCCATATAAACCGGAACGGTCGCTCGATTATGCAGTTGTTGTAGATAACCAGGCTTTGTTCGCCATTCCTTTGTCGCAGCCTTAGCTCCTGGACTAACTGTCGGCGTTTTATCCACTCCGGTGGTGTGTAATCCGGCTGAAAAAAACTCCTTGGTGGGAATATGTTAACCTAAAACGTCCTGAGAGGATGAGATCAACATGCTCTTTGCAACTCGGAGCAATTTTAAGGGGCCTAGGATGCGGTGGAATAGCGGGTTCAGTAGAGCGCTTTCCGAGTCTGAAGGCTTTCAACACTGAAACTTCTTCGTTGGGTTGAAGCAATGTATTTATAAGACCTTAGAACAAGCCGAGATCAACCAATACGCGTCCTTTAGGTGTGTCTGCGAGTGGCTGCTGGAGTCCCTGTATTGCTAGGCACTGTTCTCCGAGCGGCCGGTATTTGTTGCGTGATATGGGTGACTTGGGAGTTCCTTGCGAACCATTCATGACGATATTCTCGTTGCCATCCACTCCAGGGATATTTTCTTCAACTAATGGCATCGTGTTTGTGACAATACTGTTCCTGTCTTTTATATCAATAAAGATGATATTCGCATTTGCCGCGTCTGTGTCTACGCCGCCGCTGGAGGTTTCTGTCGATTGCTCAGACGAGATCTGCCTTTCTACCCTAGGAAGTTCTTTACTTCGAGTACTCCGAAGTCGTCCGATTTCTGTCTCTGCCTTTTCACTCATCAGTCCCTTTTCTTTTAACTGTATCTTTTAATGTGACCTCAGTTGCATGTGAGCGGTCTGAGTCTTATGATTAATTGCCTGCTTCTCCTCGGTCTCATTGCGGGGGGCGATGATCATCTGCTTTCTGCTCTTCTGCGGCGGATTAATATCATGCCTTGTCATATTTTCCGCGATTTCCTCTGAGGTTTCCGTCCATGCGGTAGTCTTTTCTATGTCCAATCCTTTTACCTTCTTCTGTGGTGGAGATCGGACAGCTTCTACTCTGCCAGTTAGCTGGTCATTGTTCTTCAGCTGGGTAGTTATCAATGATGAGCGTGCACTGCCATTATCACTTCCCAACTTAGTTTGCAATTTTGGAGTGTCGTTTACCACCGCTCTTGGTGAGGGTGAGGCTGGATGTTCATGTTTTCGTTTACCTCTTCTCTTAGCACTCTGTTTATTTCTGCAGCCAGCGATTTCCTGAAACGGTGGTCCCTCTATTAGTGGGTTGCTGTTAGTCAATTCTGTCAGTTTCGAAACTATTTGTTGGCTGCTGCTGAATTCACCAATTGACCTGAATTTATCATACTTTAGTAACAATGCAATGAGGTCTATGAGGAGGTTCATGTTCGTCTCCAATGATGTTATGTTTAACGCGAGATCTAGACAATAGTTACACCGCGCACAACAATTTGAAGGTTCGGCATCTGGTAGAAATTCCTGTGTAGTCGTAGCGGATTTCCCGGGATAAAATGCGTCGCGGGCCACCTCCGTCCTGTTTTGATCCACTTCTGGCGTACTACATTCGTTAGACCCTCCCTGCCCGACGTGAATCGACGCTGGTCCACATGGAGTTGCTAGCGTACTATGTTCATGGCCAAGTCCGACGTATCCTCGAACTATGGGGCTAATACAATTAATATTCTTTGAGGTATGCCGTCGGCGTCGATTGTCGAGGGCTTTAAGCGCTCACCTCCTGAGGGGAGGATCGACTCCCGCCCCCCACCGCCTTTCTTCCTCCCGCGGGACTGATGGATCGTACTCTTCCACATTCCCCATGTCTTTATGCGCCAAAGTCAGGGATGCAACAACAGCCAAAAGGTTGGCAGCCGGAGACAGACACAATCAAAAGAAGGCCTAAGGGTTTCAGGTGTCTGGGAAACTTTAGGCAACGGAAATCTAAGCGAATGCTTCGAGACTTCAGACAACAGAAACCCAGTCGAATTCAACGGTACTTCAGTTAACAGAAATTGAAGCTAAAACTTTGAAGCAAGGGTAGAGCCAATGTCTAAGTTTCGAAGTGAAACTCAGCCTTTGAGAAAATTGTTCTAGACGTTTCGTTTGCTGGAAGATTGGTCTTTTTGAGCCCGTATGCAGAAGTGCCGGTGTCGAAGTCCACGTTCAGCGAAGGTGGTCTTGTAAATTGGTGACGATGCGAATATTGCCGTCTGTAATTCAATTTTCTAAAATCCGGTTGACTGCAGGCGCATCCAGAGTGCGGAAATCTCAAAGAATAATAACCCCTCGGAGAACGAACATTTGAAGTATTCAAGGCCAGTCTCTGCAGCCCCTTTGCCTGTAATCACTCAAACTTCGGACTGATCATTAACACGAGAAAGGCGATGTGCGTGTATCGTTTGACGCCATCTCATTAATACAGTGAGCCCACGGCACACGACAACAGAATCGTCACACATCATTAAGCGATTTTGCACGCCTAGGGAGACTACCGCAAGACACACCAAGGTCGACGACGGAGTCGCAGGTCTGGTCTCCCATGTCAGTCATTTCATCTGCCAATAACAGCTCTCCGTCTAGAATCGCTGCGACATTCTCCTCATGACGAAATCAAAGACGTTGATAGAGGTATTTGCAGCAAACGGCGCTACAATTTGTGGCAGCCAGCCGTCATAACTGGTCTGGCGTCATTGTTCAAGACCTCGCTGCCTCAAGGTCATTCACCCCTTGCAGCGAGCCGTCCCAGACGAGCTGACCTGAAGTCGCACGACCAACAGCTCGGGCATACCTGCGTCCGCGCAGTCGCAGCTGCCCATGCGGACACTTAGACGTGCCACCTCCTGCAACCAGCAAAACAAGCCACTGGGACACCACCCCTTGGCAAATGCAACACACACTGACTGGACACCACTTGAGCTTGGCCCACGAGCCTACAACAGCGGCTGCCACCACTATCTCAGGGACTCTCAGGCCTGACTGGACGCAGTCAACATCAGCCCTAGCTTCGCCAGTAGCCACTGTCGCCTGAGAGGAAAATTCCGGGTTTTCTGCACAATAAACCCCTCATTTTGGTGCCTTCCGTCTTCTCCCTTCCAATATGGGATCTGACCCGATGACGGTAGCGCACAGATCATCTACTCTCGCTGCTTGGTTACTACAAATTCACCATTTTCTATCCCACCGACTTCTTGCAGGCATTTGCAAGTCAACCAAGAGACCTGCGAAGATTTTTCACAGGACTGTCACTGCATGGCGCAAGTAACCGTCTCGGAAGCTAACCCAGCAGCAGCAGCAGCAGCAGCAGCAGCAGCAGCAGCAGCAGCAGCAGCAGCAGCAGCAGCAGCAGCAGCAGCAGCAGCAGATGCAGCAGCAGCAGCAGCAGCAGCAGCAGCAGCAGCAGCAGCAGCAGCAGAAGCAGACACCATGGCATAGTGACGAACTCTCAAGAGTCGTGTGTCGCGGGTCGATAGCAAGCTTACAGTAGGTGGGCTAACTCATGAAACTCCGAAATGCGTTTTCGTTTCGAAAAGGTTAACTAAGTAGGGTTGTAAAACTAATCATCCTGCTGCATAATTCTATAACGATTCAGTTACCTCAGGATGCCGGCTCTCGAACGAACTTCTTTCCGGCTGCAAGCAGAAACTATACTCCGTACAAATGATTACTTCATTAGCATGCATTTTTTCATTGATTTTCGATGCCCTTAAAAAGTCAATTATATTTCATGCAAAACGCACATCAAATATTCATTCTTCTACAAGTTCGGTAGCAAATTACGTCTTTTTTCTATTTTACGCTCGAAGAAAGGGGGTAATTTTGTTTTAAGAAGGTTTCTAATTGTGAGATTTTTTAGTACCGTGAAATGGCCGTTCATAAAACGTCATGTCTCTTCATTTACCAAAGTGGCCTCTAAACTTAACAATATGACTCAAATCCACTGGTAAATTTTATGAAACCTATGTGGTCTCCTCTTAATGACGTAGGGAAATATGTGGTTATCCATACGCGGAAAATATATGGCTCGTAATTTGGAAACCCCGAATGCAAGTGTAACGGAACGTTGAGTTGTAAATTATTCGGGCATTGGGAAAGTTTTGAAAACCGAAGTATACCCTCCCTTTGAGTATAAAATTGGAAGAAGACGTAATTTGTTGACGAATTAGCAAAAGAAAGGATTTTTTATGCATTTTTTCCATGAATGTTTAAGGGCATCGAGAATCAATAAGAAAAATGCATGCTAATGAAGTAGTCATTTGTACAGAGTATAGTTTCTGCTTGCAGCCGGAAAGAAGTTCGTTCGAGAGCCCGCATCCTGAGGTAACTGAATCACTATAGAATTATGCTGTATAATGATTTATTTTACAACCCTACTTCGTTAATATTTTCGAACCGAAAACGCATTTCGGAGTTTCGGTTGACAGTTCATGAGTTAGCCCACCTACTGTACACTGTCTGCTGACTTCGGGACACGGATTTGCCTAGTTGGACTTCTCCAAATCTACCCGTTTGTAGCATTACAAGGGCACAAAGGACGCTCATCGCCACTAGTACCATCAGGAACGTGACCCGACTTCGAAACTCTTCGCAACAGACCGTCGACTCGCGCATCGGCCTGTTGGATTACCTGAGGGTTCATCGCAGTGCGACAGAAGAACAAGCGTCCGATACCCAGACCTACGTCCGTCACTCATGTCTTGCCTCTCCACACTCTCCCAGAACATTCGCATTCGTCTAGGTTGTCACACGCGCATGCTCAAGAACTACCGACAAAACATATCATATATCACTCAGGCAACTAGCATGCGATGGCGATTGGCCAACTTTGACATCGGATGCCAAACTGCACACACCCCACTACTTCAAGAAGGATGCTCCCTAATGAGGATTAGCCTCGTGGAGTGAGCCTTTTCATCCAATCCCATTCACATGTGGCTTGACTCGAACAGGCCGCTAACACATGAAATAGAGGTAGGTGAGACCGAAACTGAGAAAACATCCACAGAAATTAGTATCAAAAACACTTCTACTTAAATTATGCCAATAATATGTTTATACTGACAACGTATTTGGAGTTCAAGCATGGGTATAAATAAAACGCTGATGAATAAAAAATAGGGATTCCAAAGTCTTAACCCATTATCATTGAAAGCACACTGGATACTCCCTACTGGGTGTCAGGGTTGCAAAAGTTCCCCTTAATTCAGCACTCTTCGTGATCCCATCTTCACGTCCTATGGAGTAAATGACCCTGTAGAGTGTGACACGCGTACACCGGCTGTTCAAGTTTGTAGACAAGTGCGCAGTCATAGTTTTTTATTGCCACGAATGAATGTCGTGCTTGTCAAAATTCAACCCCAGAATTTCACCATTCGGCTTCGTTTGCCCTTTACAAGGTCAACCTAATTGAAGACAATGCACTTGTTGCTAGCGCAAACAGAATGCCCGCAAATCCCAAGCATCTGTGTTTAGGTTTTAGTTTATTTACAGACATGGACATGCATAGGCCACATGCTGGTTGAGATGGAGGGTGGGGGGAGGTTGTGTACTGCGGTACTCACGGCATAGTGTCCCCTCCCTCCAGCGGGCCACACGTTAGATACGCTGGACCAACACGGGGGCCATATGGGATTCTAGCAGGAGTCATCGGAATGCACACCAAAACACATGCCAACATCTCACGGATGCTGTGGGAGACCCAGTCGACGGCAGAGATCGGGCACATTGAAAGGCCGGCCGCCCACCCCCATTCCCTCATTCGGATTATTGGTTAAATGCCTGGTCATTTTCTGTGTGGACCAAGGGGTGTGAAGTGGATCGTCAAGGTGCGGGTTTGAGCTTGTCATCTACTTGCGCCCTCCCCGCCTCCGGTCTTCTTGAATCTGGTTTGACGCCGCGTCAGTGTGAGGGAGGAGGGGAGAGTGCGGTAGATGCCGGGAAAGTCTGCTACCACCATAGACTAACTAACGTACAAGTCACGGTGACTGTTTCACCTTGCTATGGATCACACGATGGACATTGTCCGATTCGACATACGAACTGGCGGCGGAGAAGTGTTGCAGGCACGGTCGAGTCAGTCATACCCTAAGCCCAACCAGTGGATCACCTGTGGACAGAAGGTCCAGTCGGGGAGGTCTTTCAGTGCTTGGGCGAACGCTCTTATGATTTGGATTCATGGTTAGGTAGCTGCATACCGAGTACGTAAAGTCAAGGGAGTATGCACCCCACCATCATAACCTCCTTTCGGGACAAAATTTGGATTCAGATCCTTATGACAGGATTCTGTTCCCCATGACCGCTGCCGTCCCCACCTACTGTTGTTTTTGGTTAAAAGCCTGGCCATTTGCTGTGTGGACCAGGGGGTGTGAAGTGGGTCGTCAAGATGTGAGCTCGAGAGTTCCATCCATGCGCTCTCGCCCGACTCCAGTCTTCTTGAATTTGTCTCGAAGCCGGGTCCGGGTGATGGAGGATGAGAAAGTGTGGTAGATGCTGTGCAAGTCTAGCAACAGCCTTAGCCCAACCACTGCATCATCCATGGACAGAAGGTCCAGTCGAGGAGGTCATGCAGTATTTGAGAGAACAATCTGAAGAGTTGGATTTCTGGTCAGATGGCTGCAACCCCGAGTACGCAACGTAAAGTGAGTATGAAACACAGCGATCTATCCTGGTTTCAGGGCACAAACCGATGTCAGCTCTTTCTACAGTCAGTGAATGAGCTGATGCAATGTTGGCCGAAATTGTGAAATACGTATTCATTTGAGAAGGACTACTTAAGTTGCATTGTGATATTTCTTATCTTCCTGCCTGACGCAGTGATATTTCAGACACGGAGGGCTGTTGGCTTTTAAATGCACTTCCTTTCGCTCGCCTGAAGTGACAGCAGCCGGCACAAAATGACTACTTGTTTAGTGGGCATATTATCTATAAATTTTCCATAGATTAAGGAATTATTTTTTAGAAAACATGCATGACAATAATCCTTTTGTACTTATTTTGTAGCAAATTACGTCTTCTTCAAATGTTGCACTCAAAGGATGCGTATCTTTCGGTTTAAAAAAAAATTATTTATGAGATTCTAAAGGCTGTGCAACGTTCATTCAAGTAGCCTTGTATATACCTGTTTAATAATGCTCCGCGTGAAGCGTGCAACGCAGTTCACATTTGTTGCAAAATCGTATGAGCCCTATTTGACATCTACTTGATGAAGTGTTCGAATGGATGTTTTTAATTACGCTAACAGTAAGTAGTTAGTAGGCTATAAACCATAAACGCATCGACAGGTTGAGATCAAGATCATTCTAGGATTCAAAAACGTTTTTAAAACTGTAAGATATCACTTCTTAGACTATAAAATTTGAAAAAGACATGAGTTGCTTCCAAGTGAGTACAAAAAAGATATTTTTGCGTGTTTTGGCGAAATATTTCTGTATGAATTATGGCATCAAAAATCGACACAGAAAATGCATACTACTTAAGTATTCATTTTGCCGGGTACGGTGGTTTTGGATGGCCGAAAAGAACTGGGTCTATAAGCCAACATCCTTCCGTGCCTGGAATATGAATGTATTGTGTCGCAAATTGGTTAATATTACAAATACATCTAAGTGTCCCCTTCTAACCGAATACGCATTTCACAATTTCGGACAGTATTTCATGAGATCCATCGATGACTGCAGCTTGTTCTCTGATTGCACAGATCTTGCAAACGGTCTAGTGGCAACCGCTGAGCAATAATCAAAGTGTGTTATTCAAACGGGATGCGAGAGACAGGGATGGCAATTTCCGCCCTTACACAGCTGCGTTCATGCGTCATCGAGTGGTTGCCATGGTAGTTGACAACCTAAATCGTAGTGTTATTGACAATCTATAATACGCGTCAAATCCTGAGCAACCACAGTCATCACCCCTTACGCCACAAACGTAGTTGTGTGCAAACACGCTACAGAAGGGCAGAAACACATTGCACCAAGCCGGAAGACAGAACTACGCTACCTCCTGCGCCTCTTCATGGCCAACGGGTATCTTCGCAAATACATCGAAAGCGTTACAGGTCAGGGATACAGTGAATTCAGATCATGCAGTTGAGATATTTTATATTTTGAGGGACGGTATGTGGTCCACTGTGTAAACCGGTGAGAGCCTACCATCGTTTCTTCTGTGAAATAATGCATCAATGCAGACCAGTTCATTTTCATTTAATTCCTCCATCACTAGTGAATATTATCTGTTACTAAATGCATTCGATAGCACTAATTACATACTGAGAGGGAGAGAACGACAATTATGGCCGCTCCCAATGTACCAAGCGTGATCAGCCAGTGACACCCAATGCCAAGTTTTGACAGTCAGATGGCTGAACGGCTACAGAGGCCATTTTGAAGGTTTCCATGTGCATCAGAATAAGTTTGTTACTTCATAATTTTCTGATCATATTCTCGTGAGAATGACACACACAACGTCGAACAATTATGCCGTTCAGAATTATGCTGTGATTGTTCATCCCCATCAGCAAATTACTTCCTGTTCAAAAACCAATTGCAACTGGCCTTTCTGAATCACGGTGGGCACTGAGAGTATATATATATAAATGCCTAACCTTAGGGCGTAGGAATAAATTCTAAATAATGGTTGCCCTTCTATTCGTCGCTTGCCTTCTCTCCGCGCTAGCAGTTGAAGGTAAGTCGCATGCTTTATTTGCTGGAGCGATCATGGGCTAGGATTAATCAGAGGCGCGAGATAAAAAATGCCAACTGTCCTTTAGCAAATTCACCATCCTTTTAACACTCCGTATGTACTGGCAGACGTAGGCATTCCACCTTCAGATATTTCGAGTATTTTTTCCTACCTGGCTGCTCCTCGCTTCGAGTCTTTCTCTAAATAAAGAATTACATGCGAATTGGCTCAGTGGTCCTTTTGGTGGTACAGGTCAACCAATGTCATCCGACCGAAAACCGACAGGGTGAGAGACTGCTGGCTCAGTGGTTAGAGGCGTGGACTTCTAACTAACGGGTTACGAGTTCAAGCCTCGGGTGTTCCACACTTCGGGGTTGGGTATGACTGGCTGAGGTCGGCTAATAAGCCAGAAATGGCCATTCCAGTCTACCTTGTCTTTGCCGGTAATGCCATTCTGTCTATATCATACGCCGCTGTGCGGCTGCTGGTTGGGCTCGAGTGAGAGCACGTAAGGCACAACGGAGCGAGTGCGTTCCGTAAGGACTATCGGTTAGCGCCCCTCACCATGTCATCCTGCCGACGAAGGGCCGACCAAATCTGTAGGCGGATATCCACGGTTTTTCCTTACGCTGCCTATCTAAATGTTCCCCAACCATGCTGAAAAACGTTCAGGCTACCGCTCATCAGCAAATTTGTCTCCAGACTAATCATGTTCTTCTTAAACTCCCAAGTCGAGGTCCAGTCGACGAGATCCGGCCACAGAGTCCAGTTCGATGAGACCGAAATTCTCGCGAGAGATGTTATTCGCGTGAGCCGACAGTGGCTTGACTCATGGTTCACGGGACCCCAGTCTATCAACAACTGCAATGATATCCCCACTCCATGTTAGGTGCTGAGAGATAGTCTGGCCACAGGAGTTAACCACTCGCAGAGCGCGCAGGCCGGTGAGCCAGGTGGCCGAGCAGTCATCCGACATCCAGAGACTGCTCCTACTTATCATGTCCTTTGTTTAGTTCTGGCGAATCACTTATCGTGGACGTGATGTGGTGTTATATTTGACGGCTAATATCTCCAAAGGGCACTTTAAATACATCTAAGGAATGGTTGGAGATGGTACGTTATGCGACCTAGCCTACATAGCTCACGCGGTCTCTGTTTCCTCTTCTTGTTTTCAGGACGACTGGATCCCTGCTTCATGCCGATCAGATCGGGCATGTGCAGAGCAAGAATCCCAATGTATGCCTACAATGCTGAGCTCGGTGTATGTGAGGAATTCATTTATCGCGGATGTGGCGGCAATTTGAATCGTTTTGAAACCTTGGAGGATTGTGAGATGGCATGTGGCGGCAGGCGTCGTCCTCCGAAGTGGGGTCCATATGGACCCGTAGAGGATTCTGCTATGTAATGTCACCTTAAATATAATGCGTGAACCGAATCAAAATGTTGTTTTTTCAGATTATTTGATTGGCTGAAGAGGGGCTGACGCGATTTCTCCGACTGAAATTCTGCAAGCCACATTGCAGTGGAGTCCACCGGATATTGCTATGAAATCGATAACAACATGCAGAGGACATTGCTGTTGGCGTTGGAGTAGAGATATTTGGGAAGCACAGTATCAGCTATAAGAGATGGGTGAGAGAGAGAGAGAGAGAGAGAGAGAGAGAGAGAGAGAGAGAGAAATGCGCTTTCTTTTCAAAGCAAGAATGCTTCTATTCATTCTGACGGGAATATAGATTTATATGTGAGACTAGAATAAATAGATTTGCACGGAACCGAATATATATTGCGGGGACAGTTCAAGTCTCAGTTTTGCTACTTTTCCTTCTTTATGCATTAGGTATCCTGCCGGCTTTGGCGGCATATAATGCTTTTTTGCTCCAATGTGTGACCCACGTAGATCTGTAGAGTATTCTGCTATTTAATGTCACCTTAAATATAATGTGTAAACCAAATCTAAATGTTGTTTTTGAAAGTATCGGTTTAGCTGAAGAAGGACTGACGCGATTTCTCCGACAGAAATTCTACAAGCTACATTGCAGTGAAGTCCACCAAATATTAATTGGAAATCGATAATAACATGCAGAGGACAATGCTGCTGGCAGTGGAGGAGAGATATTTGAGAGGCACGGTAACAGCAATGCGAGGAAAGAGAGAGAGAGAGAGAAAGACAGAGAACTTCGCTTTCATTTGAAAGCATTAATGGTTCCATTCATTTGGACCATAATATATATTTACAAATGATGCCAGATTACTTCAATTTGCATGAAACTAAATATCTATTACGGGAACAGTTAAAGTCTCAGTTTTACTCTTTCACCTGCCCTGTCAGCAATGGCGGAATGTAATGCTGATATGCTGCTGTACAAGAGATATGTCGCAAGGCACAGGGCAGAAGTCGATCAACGAAATGCTGGACCGCTGTCACATGTCGCTGCATTACGGTATCGACCATAAAAACATTCGAATTACCAGCAGCGGCAGTAGCAGCAGCAGCAGCAGCAGCAGCAGCAGAAGAAAGCATTTAAATGAAAATGACCACCTGGCGCTCGACCCGTAACCCTCGGAAATTCGGTTAGTGTGCGGGTTTAAGTTTCTCACTGCCGATATATTTTTATGTTAATGAATATGTTCCTGACAACATTTGATTAATATGTTTTAACATCAACATTGTACGTACTGGTTTCAGTAGGTTCATCAATGGTACTACTGCCTATTACCTTAATTATCCTATTATAATTAATGTAAATATCTTTTTATGCAAAGCAGCAACAAGAACAGAATGCAGTCATTTGTAAATCTCCTGATTAGCGGTTGAGGTGTGTGATAGAAAAGTGCATGGCAAATGTAATAAGCGAGTTTAGGAATTTTCTTGAAAAGGATTTTGAGGCCATAGTTACACCAAGGTATGGGAAGGAGGAATCATGATCAGGCATGGATGGGGGTCACAGAAGGCGGTTAACCCCGAGATGTGCAACACCTGGGGCTCGATCCCGCGACCTGTCGGTTACAAATCCAGCACCCCAAATCCACTGAGTCACAGGCCTGCTTTCCTTTCGGTTGTGATCGCGTAATTATATTCATCCTCCCGTGGATCCAGACGGGACGAGTGAGTTCCATAATGCAGTCGGTGAGCGCTCCTCTACTATTGTATATACCCGATGCAAAACGACGTGAAGACGTGCCCGTGGCTCCGTTGCTACGGAGCGCTGGACTTCTAATCAACAGGTCGCTGGATCTACCCCCGGGTGTTCCGGACCTCGGGGCTTGGGTATGACTGGCTGAGGACCGCTAATAAGCCATAAATGGCCATTCCAGTCTCCCTTGTCTTTGTCGGTCATGCTACTCTGCTTCACTGTGAGTCATCTGTTGCACTGAAACAGCTGTCTTCTACTCAGCTTAAGGCATCAGGATTTGCGATCGATCTGAGCTAGACAGTGTTTTGTGCGCCGTAGAATAACTACAGGCTAATGAGCCTTGCCTCGATTTTTTCACATTAATGAAGAAAATCCGTAAGAAATCGTTGACGCAATCCCTTGATCAGAATCACCTCATTTATACGATTTGACAATGGCATTTTTTCAAGATATTTGGCACCTTCGTGTGGTCACATCTAGAATATGCCATACAGACCTTGCACGGCCAAGGACCGTAGACTTGACACTTGTCAAGCCCCCCAATTACCAGCCACACAAACACCCACATATTCTACATACTATTACACCAGTTGCAATACGTAAGTAGACGTTAATGCTCACACTCTTTTCGATTAGGAGACAGCTTCCTGCTATGCCCTCGCAAATACTTAAACAATCTTTCTTTCGATGTTCAATTTATCGGGGTTCTTTATTAAACAGTCTGCAAACAAAAGGGAGTTGAACGGCGTTCGTCTATTTTTACGCTAATAAGACTGAACAGAACTGATGGCTTAGAGAAAGCGCCTAATTTCACTGCGGTCTGCGAATCCTTGGACTTTTTCTCCGATCGTTTCGCATCTCCCACTGCCACCATATGCGCAGAGGTCAGAATCTCGATTAAGGGAGTGGGGTGGGGTGGGGTGGTCGGTCACACAGCATCTGAGTCCAACGCCCTGCCCATTTTCGTCCACGCTCAATGACCTGCGCCGCCGAAAATTCAATGCCGCATCGATATATTCTAATTTTCGGACAGAATTCGGTATTGGTTTTTATGACCGGGTAAATTGTCCAGAATTTTTGCCTGCAAAGGACGGGGAGGGTGGAATTGTCATTTATGGTTTGATGAACGTCGACACTAATCCGCTGCAGTCACCCTACTTGGAGACAATGTTCTTCTTGCTCGCACAAACTGAATGTTCCCAAATTGCAAGCCTCTATGTGCATATGCTTGTTCGTTTGCAGACAGGAGCATACATACGTCACATGCTGGTTGAGAAATTTTAGTATCCACCATGGTGCAGAGTGGGGGGTGAGGTTGTGTACTGCGGTACTCACGGCATAATGCCTCACCCCAACCGGCCACACGTTAGATACGCTGGACCATCACGGGGACCATATCGGAATGTGGCAGGAGTTATCGGTATGCGCACCATAACAAATGCCAACACCTCGGGGTTGCGGTGGCAGACGCAGCTGATGGCAGAGATCGGGCACATTGAAAGGCCTGTCGCTTTCCCCCCACTCCCTCATTCGGATTGTTGGTTAAAAGCCTGGTCATTTGCTGTGTGGACCAGGGGATGTGAAGTGGATCGTCAAGGTGCCGGTTTGAGCTTGTCATCTACTTGCGTCCTCCCCGCCTCCGGTCTTGTCTTGACACCGCGTCAGTGTGAGGGAGGAGGGGAGAGTGCGGTAGATGCCGGGCAAGTCCACTACCACCATAGACTAACTCACGCACAAGTCACCGTGCCTGCTTCACCTTGCTATGGAACACACGATGGACGTTGTCCGATTCGACATACGAACTGGCGGCGGATAAGTGTTGCAGGTACGGTCGAGTTAGTCATACCCTAAGCCCAACTAGTGGATCACCCGTGGACAGAAGGTCCAGTCGGGGAGGTCTTTCAGTGTTTGGGTCGAACGCTCTTATGATTTGTATTCATGGTTAGGTAGCTGCATACCGAGTACTTTAAGTCAAGGGAGTATGCACCCCACCGTCCTATCCTGCTTTCGGGACAAAATTCGGATTCAGATCCTTATGACAGGATTGTGTTCCCCATGACATATTCACCGAGTGCAAAGCTCTTGCAAACTGTCCAACCGCTACAGTTGAGAAATAAGCAAAAACAGTAGAATTTAATGATACCAGAAAATTTCGCAACGGCTCCCCTACTGCAGCCTGTCGTTGCATAACAAAATAACAAGTGGGAAAGGTACAGAGGTTTGGATTTCGACAGGGAAAATCAATGTAAAACAGCAAGGTCAACGTATGCTGCGCGAGGACCAATCCCTTGGCATGTTTACTTCTCCATTTTCAGTCCTATGTTGCATTTTGAATTATCATTTTAAGAGGGTGCGTGAACATATGCCCGCCTGGCTAGACAGATGTGAGACACGGTCGATTTCGAGTTCTATTCTCGCGCATTTAATCGATACGAACCACCGAGTCGATGCCAAGAAAGCATTTCAGGTTGTTTACCGGACACCAACATGCTTCTCTTAAGGCCTACGCCAACGGATACTAGCAACGGCCGAGGCAGTAGCGATACGGTTAGTGAATCCGGTGTTATGCTGTCAGAAAACTCTGACACAAGCGCTTTCGCTGCCGTGGCCAACGCCAACCCCAAGTGATGAAGCCATGCCGCCTCAAATCCCTAATCACGATGATGGGTACTCCGTGTACTCAACCCAAGATCATTACTCGAAGACTCTCTTACCCCCCCTCCCCTAGCTCTGACGACTAACACCCGCCGACCTTCTCATGCGGGCGGCGTGGGGATGATGAGTGTTTGTGACTTAATAGCCCTTGAGGCATCTATAAACACTGTTGATTTTGTACATTTTCTTTCGATCATGTAATTTTATTGGCCTGAGGAAGAATTACCGAAAACGTGCGTTCGCCAACTTGACTTTTCAATTATCATTTTATTGATTAGTCTACTAGCAGTATACGTTGACCTTGCAGAACTTCCAGACCTTGTAAACATAAACCGTTACTAAAATCTGTTCAGTAGCACCGGATGGAAACTGCGAGATAAAAGCGATCATTAAGACCACCTGTGTTTTATCGGCGTGATCAGCCAAAATTTGATAGCCAGACTGTTGAAACCCAAGTACGCATCGAAATCGAGAATGGTTCCACTTATCTATCGGAGTTAACTCCTAAAGTACAGTCAGTGAATGATATGATGAAATGTTGGCCGAAATTGTGAAGTACGTATTCATTTAAGAAGGACAACTTAATTTACATCGTAATATTTATTATCTTGCGGCATAATGCAGGGATATTTCAGACACGCCAGGCTGTCGGCTTCTTCTCGCCCGCCTGCAATGACTGCAGTTTTTAAAAAAGGACTACTCATATAGGACACATATTTTCTCTCGATTTTCCATGGATTTATGAATTGTGAATTATCTTATAGAAAAAAATGCATGCTATAAACCCTAAACGCATCGACAGGTTGAGATCAAGATCATTCTAGGATTCAAAAACGTTTTTAAAACTGTAAGATATCACTTCTTAGACTATAAAATTTGAAGAAGACATGAGTTGCTTCCAAGTGAGTACAAAAAAGATATTTTTGCGTGTTTTGGCGAAATATTTCTGTATGAATTATGGCATAAAAATCGACACAGAAAATGCATACTACTTAGGTATTCATTTTGCCGGGTACGGTGGTTTTGGATGGCCGAAAGGAACTGGGCCTAAAAGCCAACATCCTTCCGTGCCTTGAATATGAATGCATTGGTTCGTAACTTGGTTAATATTGCAAATACATTTAAGTGGTCCCTTCTAACCGAATACTCATTTCACAATTTCGGACAATATTTCATGAGATCCACCGCTGACTGCAGCTTATTCTCTCATTGCACAGAACTGGCAAACGGTCTAATGGCAACCGCCGAGCAAGAATCAAAATGTGTTATTCAAACGAGATGCAAGAGGCCGCCATAAGAATTTCCGCTCTAACACAGCCGTGTTCCTGCGTCAACCTAAGTCGTAATGTTATTACCGACCACTAATACACGACAAATTCTAAGCTACCACAGTAATCACACCTTACGCCACAAACGCAGTTGTGTGCGAACACGCTACAGAAGGGCAGAAACATATTGCACCAAGCCGGACGACAGAACTACGCTACCTCCAGCATCATCATTCAACCTCGCTACCTCAACATCATTCTTTTGAGATGTTTTATATTTTGAGGTACGGTATGTGGCCCTATATGTAAACCATTGACAGCCTACCATCGTTTCTTATGTGATATAATGCATCAATGCAGACCAGTTCATTTTCATTTAATTCCTCCATAATAGTGAATACTAGTTTCTACTAAATGCATTGGGTAGCACCAATTACATACTGAGAGGAAGAGAACGACAAATATGGCCTCTTCCGATTCACAAAGCGTGGTCAGCCAGTGACACCCAATGCCAAATTTTGATAGTCAGATAAGTGAATGGCTACGGCGGCGATTTCGATTTCTTCTCGCCCGCCTGCAATGACTGCAGTTTTTACAAAAGAACTACTCATATAGTGCACATATTTTCTCTCGATTTTCCATGCATTTATGAATTGTGAATTATCTTATAGAAAACATGCATGACAAAAATCTTTTTTGTACTAATTTGGTAGCCAATTACGTTTTCTTCAAATTTTGCACTAAAAGGATGTGTATCTTTCTGTTGCAAAAGAATTTCTATTTAGGGGATTTTAAAGGCTGTGCAAAGTCCATTCAAATCTCAACTTATCTGTGTTCTATAATGCTCCTAATGAGGTATACAACATTTTTTGCAAATTTGTATGAGACCTATATGACATCTACTCGATAGAATGGAGGAATGATTATTTTGCATTACGTGGGAAGTATGAAGTTAGTAGATTTGAAACCCCAAACTCAAATGCAACGGCAAATCGAGCTCAAGATCATTCTGGAATTCAGAAAGTTTTTAGGATTAAAAAATACCCCCTTTTGATAGTCAGACGCCTGAACCCTAAGCACACCACGTAAGCTGAGATTTTTCCCACTGATTTATCCTGGTTCCAGGGCACAAATTGGAGCTAGCTCCTTAAACAGAACTACTCAGGTGAGGTTGTAAAATTTATTATCTTGCTGCCTGTCTGTTGGCTTTCGCCCGCCTGCAATGACTGCAGCCGGCACAAAATGGCTACTTGTATAGTGCACCCTTTGCAGTCCGCATTGTGAAAGTTTTCCGCGAACAAATACAGTGCGTGACCTATCTCATGAAATGTTAGCTGAAATTCTGAAATGCGTTTTCGATTAGGAAGGATTACTTGGTCGCGGTTGTGATACTGATTATTTTAAGGCATACTCTTATAACATTTCAGACTCGGCAGGATGTCGGCTTTTAAATGCACTTCTCTTCAATCTGCTGTGAAAGCTAGCTCGGTAAAAAATGACTACTTAAGTAGCATGCATTTTTCCCATTGATTTTCGATGGTCTTGGAAATTCAAATATATTTTATAGAAACCACAAACGAAAATATGCTTTCTTTTAGTCAATCGATAGAAAATCACGTCTTTTTTATATTTTATGCATAAGGAGGGAGTATAATTAGGTTTTAGAAAAAGTTTTCTGATTGCCGAAAATTTTGGAGCCTGATCATTCGTTGCATTTGCGCTTAGTGATTACACTCTACATGGTACATGTGTTCCACGTAAAGAAAATCCCGTCTTTTTCTATGTCATTAAAGAGATATCATACAGGGTCCATAAAATATGCTCTCTTTTAGTCAATCAATAGAGAATCATGTCTTCTTTATATTTTTTACTTAAGGAAGGAGTATAATTAGGTTTTAAAAAAGTTTCTAATTATGAGACTTTTTAAGACCGCCATATGTCCATTCACATAGCATCGTACCTGGCCGTTTACCACTGCTCCTCATGAAATGTACAACATGGTCCGCATCCATTGCAAAATTTTATGGACCCTGTATGATATCTCTTTAATGACATAGAAAAATATAGGATTTTCTTTACGCGGAACGCATGCACCTTGTAGAGTTAATCACTAAGCGCTAATGCAGCGAATGATCAGGCTCCAAATTAGTCGGCAATTAGGAAACTTTTTTGAAACCTAATTATACTCCTTCCTTATGCATAAAATATAAAAAAACGTGATTCTCTATTGATTGACTGAAAGAAAGCATATTTGTGTTTGTGGTTTCTATAAAATATATTTGAATTTCCAAGACCATCGAAAATCAATGGGAAAAATGCATGCTACTTAAATAGTCATTTTTTACCGAGCAAGCTCTCTACAGGAGATTGAAGAGAAGTGCATTTAAAAGACGACATCCTGCCGAGTCTGAAATGTTATAAGAGTATGCCTTAAAATAATCAGTATCACAACCGCGACCAAGTAATCCTTCCTAATCGAAAACGCATTTCAGAATTTCAGCCAGCATTTCATGAGATAGGTCACGCACTGTATGTTACTGACAAAATTTAGTAAGATGTACATCTAACATTTATATTTTATGTACCGTTTTCAATAGGGTCATCAAGGGCATTGCCTATTACCCTAAAATACACTATACACAAATATTTTCTATAGATTTTCCATAGATTTACGAACTAAGTAATACTGTATAAGAGGCATATATAACACTATTCTTTATGTATTCCTTTTGTGGTAAAGTACGCTTTCTTCAAATTTTTCACTCGAAGGAGGGTAATCTTTCGATTTTAAAGGAATTTTGAATTGTGAGATTTTCACGGCCGTGTAATATCCATTCAAATAGCATTGTATCTATCTCTTCAATAGTGCTCCTCGTGCAGTATGCAACATAGTCCACATATGGCGAAAAATTTTATGACCCCTATTTGACATTTGCCTAGTGGAGTAGAGGAATGAATGTTTTTAATTACGTGGAAAGTATGAAGTTAGTGGGCTGGAAACCCTAAACGCAAATGCAATGGCAGATCGACCTCAAAATTGTTCTGAAATTTAAAAATGTTTTTATAAATGAATAGTGCCCCTTATTAGAATATAAAATTTGAACAAGACATGAGTTGCTATTAAAAAAGAACAAGAATGGATATTTTGTTCCTGTGTTTTGCAAAATATTTCTGAATATATAAGGACATCTAAAATCAGCAAATATATTGCATGTCGAGTGCGGTTTTTTAAATGGCTGAAAAGGACTGCGCCCAAAAAGCCAACATACTGCCGTGCCTGGAATATGACTGCACAATTAATATTGGAAATATGTCTACGCGATCCATTCTAATCGAATGCACACTTCATCCTTTCGGTCAATATTTCATGAGATCGATCATTGACTGTAGCTTGTTCTCCAAATGCTGAGTCCTTGCAAACGGTCTAATGCCAAGATCTCAGCAAAAATCAAAATATGTTATCCAAACAGGATGCGAGAGACTAGGATGACAGTTTCCATCTAATGAGACGTCATCGGTCAGGAATACAGTAAGTCCAGGCAATGCAGTTGAGAGGTCGTTATCTTTTGAGGGACGACATGTGACCCTGTATATAATTCAATGGAGCCTGTCTTCTTACCTTTGGGTGAAATATGCATTTGTACAGACGGGTGCATTTTCCCTTAATTCTTCCATCACTAGTGAACATTAGCTGTTACTAAATGCATTCGATTACATTAATTACATGCTGATAAGGAGAGAAAAATATCGGCACTTATGGCCGCTTCTGATTTATCAGGCGTGGTCAGCTAGTGATACCCAGCGTCAGGATTTATTTGCCAAGAGCTGAAGCCAGATCACGTAATTGACAATCGCAAAAATTTTTTATATATGCGGGGTTATTCGACGATCTCTCCCTATTGTCCGTCAGCCTCCTCCCGTTGTGTCTTTGAGTTTAATCTAAAATACTAGCATGCGAAAGTGGAAGCAGTCCGGCAAAATTACTGCCGACAATGGAAACTGGGATAGACATTACTGGCATGTTAATCGTTGACATGCAACCGTGCCCCTACCCCAGATTTCGAGACCTCAGCGCCCGAACCCAGAACTCTGTGCTCATTTAGCGTGCAATTGAGCTTACGGGCTCATTGTTCTGCTTTTTTAACGGATCCAGATTACAACATGACATGCCGGACCGGACTCGCCAGGATGTCGGATTTTGAATGCATTCCTTTTTAACCTCCTACAGAAACCGCACTTGGCAAGGAATGACTACTTAATTAACGTGAATTTTTTAGCATTGAGTTTTGGCGGTCTCGTAAATTAATATATATGAGAATGGAAGAGGTTCTTCGGAAAAAATAGAGTTGTACTAATGAATTTTCGAATTCGTGACACCACTCCGTCGTCAGACGAAATGAAGATAAAAGAGAGAGTAAGACAGTCACACTAGACTAGTAGACGCGACAGGACAAACATTGACGGGCGGACCATTAATGTGTGACGAGGGATGCGGGCAGGGAGTCATGTTGGTTCTGATCCGGGAGGGCTGGAAGGGGGGGGAACAGTTACGGCTCCCCGTGTTGGAGGGGAGGGAGACTGGTAGGTTGGCAGAACTGCGGGCGCCTGGGTTAGCGGCTGATGATGCGGCGTGGGGCTCGGCTTAGTGAGGCGTGAACTCAGGCCCTCATAATAGGCGTCTAGGTCAACGTGGCGGTTGATGCTGTTCGCGTTAGTTCCATGCCTCTAGGAATTCTCTCGCCCGTTCTGTGTTGGTCGTGGCAATGACCTCGGTATTATCCGATTGGGTAGCCTTACTGACAAAGAAAAAAAGAGTGGAATGGCCACTTATAGCTTGTTAACCGTTATCAGCCAAACATACCCAACTCCGAGGTTTGCTACTCCCGAGACTCGATCATCCGGTCTGTTGGTTAAGGTCCAACACTCTAACCACTGAGCCACCGGCTTATTATCCTGCCGTTTGAGATGGTGTATACTAGCAATGATAGATGGACGCCCCCCTGATTGCTTTACGGGACTCCCTGGTTCCGTTGTGCTTTGCGGATCAATATACTTACTTTGTACTTGATACGGCTGCGATCATGCCTGATCTAGACGGCCTCGATGATGTCCCGAATTGTACCTCTCCACGCGTGACGATCCGCGGCAGCAGATCTGGACAGTTCAACCCATTCGCTTCGCCAACGACGGAGACCGAATACCGAAGGTCCAATAACCACCTCCATGTCTTGACGAACTGTGTCGAGCCAGGTTTTGAACTGACCCCCTCTTCGACGCCTCCAATGGGGCAACGGTGCCGGATCGAGGGCAGTAACACTGAGCTCCTGAGGTGGACGACGAAGAACATGCCCGAACCACCTCAGTCGTCTTTCTTGGATGGCCTGAGTTATCCTCGCGATGTTGTCGCAGCGAGCGCGGACTATCTCATTTGAGACGAAGTCGGTTAACTTCACTCGAAGGATGATCCTCAAGCAGTGGTGGTCAAATACCTCCAGTTTTCGCTCATCTGCCAGGCGCAAAGCCCAGCATTCGCAACCGTAGAGAAGGACAGACCGAACAGATGAACGGTACACGCTAACCTTAGTGGCGATGGAGAGGTCACGTCGGTTCCACAGGCATTTCCGAAGGCCTGAAACCTCATGCAAAGTACTTGCGGCTCAATATCGAGTCTCGCCGACAGCTGCTTAGCGGCCAGTATTACAATCAGAATGGCATTACCGACAAAGGCATTTTTGCCTTATTAGCTGCCATCAGCCAATCATACCCAATCCCGAGTTTCACAACCCCTGGGGCTCGATCCCCAACATTCTCGCTGGATTGCAGATCAGTGGATACCATCGTGACACAACTTAGACTGGATCCTGTAGGTGGTCGTTCCGTGCAGCAGCTATTGGGACGTCAAGTTCAAGCATCAAATATGGCCCGTCCACAACCTTAATTGGGCCGGGAGCGACTCTTTCTGTCCTATGGCGTTTGTCCGTCATGGTTCTTGACAGAGAAATGCAGCCGATTGTACTTTTGCAAACCGAGTGAGCCACGGTTCTCGACAGTTAAAGGGGATTTTGTCCAGCCGGCTCTGAGCTCCCTCAGTTGGGTGAGTGCGAACTCAGTCAATTTTGGCATAATTTACTGCACCGTAAAAGTCATCCCCGAGGAGGGACGGTTCCGTTCTCGAAAATTTCCCACACGTGCGTCAGCATATTCTGGCAAGACGATCAGCGGCTAACAATTATGCTGTCCGACGTAGCGCATCGACTACGCCCCCCCTCCCCTGTCCTCAAATTACTTCCTGCACTGTAGCTAATGGCAAATTGTCGTCTCAGAGACTTAGTAAAAATGTCTATAAATATATGTCCATAAACGGATAGCGCAGACATCACTTCTACGCGATGATTGCTCTTCTATTCGCCGCCTGCCTTCTCTCCGTGGTAACAGTTGAGGGTGAGTTGTGCACTTAATTTTCTTGAGCGACTCCCCAACATCACCTAGTGCAGCCTTAAATTCATAAATTCGGTCAGGAGTTTACGGTTATTTAACCTCATAGATGGTCTGCATGACGTTATGCCAGACATGCTTATGCGTACCCGTATGAGACGCCGCAATGTCCCCTAGAAACTGTTAAAGTAGTGGAGTAGCCTTCAGCCCTAACCCGCCTCACGCACGTAACGTCTTAATCCCCCTCTTGTCCAAAATCCCTCAATTGCACTGGTCTAGACATTCAGAAAAGTCGAAAGCGAATGATGTTAGTCGATTTTGGAGGTAAAAGGTATTCGTGAGTGCTACTCACTGGACCGTCGTCATTCTATTGGCCAGCGGTGACGAGCATTCTACTGTGAACGCAACTCAGCATTTGCGTTGCGTCTCATTGCCAGTTCACACTGATGGCACATAAGGCGGCAGCATAACTGAGGGGCAGCCATTATGTAACCCTGTTTGTTTTGGGACAAAACCCTTAAAGGCCTTAACTTCCTCCTCTCCCTCTCATCACATTACGTCCAACATCGCCAAGCGTCTCCAGCTGAGACGCCCCAACAACGCACTTGTACTCGCCGGCCAGCCTGTTATTCCGCCCTATCTTCCACTCAGGAACTAGTGCACAAATGCTGAATGGTGATCTGAGTTTAGCCCTAACCCACCTCACGCATTCTTTCTCCTCTTCAGGATGGGTGCACCCCTGCTACATGCCTGCTACATGACCGGCAGGTGCCGAGCGCGGATGCCAATGTATGCCTTCAATCCTCAGTTGGGCGCCTGTGTGGAATTCGTGTATGGCGGCTGCGGTGGCAATTATAATCGCTTCGAAGCCCAGGAGGAGTGTGAGGCGATCTGTGGTGGATTCCGTCGTCGAATGTAGAACCTGTTGAAACCCGTGTACGATTCCTGTATTGTAGCATTACTTTAAATTTAACGTGGACGCTAAACTGCTGTGTCTTTTTGCGAGTATTTTTGACTAAGGCAAGGCCTGTGATATGTTCTTAGAGGTACCAATGCATCACCGCAGGCCGGCGCACTTTCCTTTAATTCTTCCGGCACTAGTGAACACTAGCTGTTGCTCAATGCATGCGGCACCTTTGATCACATGCTGAGAGAGAGAGAGAGTGAGAAGAGCGATAATTATGACCGATTCCGGTCTATCTCGTTACTTCATACTTTTCTGAACTTCTTCTCATGAGAGTGCCGCACTCAACGTCCAAAGCGGATTGTGTACTCCAGTCGGCAAATTACTTCCTGTGCAATAAACAATGCGAAATGGTTGTTTTTGTCACAGTACGCACCGAGAGTATATATATATATATAACCTGCAATAAATTCTAAATGATGATTGCCCTTCTATTCGTCTCTTGCCTTCTCTCCGTGCTAACAGCTGATGGTGAGTCGCATACTTCATTTTCTGGAGCGATCTTGTTGCAATGTACAACACATGCATGCGTTGAATCCCCAATCCCGATTACATGCGCCACTTAGAAATTAGCGAACCAATGTTGTACGGAGAGGCTAATTTCAACCTTACATTCATAGCTGAGTCATTCTATTCGTTTTCTTCTTTACAGGACGAGTGGACCCCTGCAAAATGCCGATCATTCCTGGTGTGTGCAGAGCGAGGATCCCGATGTATGCCTACCATTATCGGCTCGGCGTATGTGAGGAATTCGTCTATCGCGGATGCGGCGGCAATATGAATCGTTTTGAGACGTTGGAGGATTGTGAGAGGACTTGTGTCAGGCGCCGTCATCGAATATAAGAACTTGCATTTATTTTCACCTTAAATAAATCGCGTACGACGAAAATAAGTGTTGTTTTCTGGGAACATTTGTCCGGCTTAAAAGGGCTGAAGCGTTTTCATCGATCCGAGTGAATGGTATGAACAACATCAATCAGAATTCCATCAGAGATATGCTTGGCTGTTGTCAGATGTCGTTGCATTATAATACCGACTAAATGACTTGCGAAACACCACCAGTAGAAGAGAGCTTTCAAAGGACTCATTTAAATAAAAGTGACCATCTGCCGCTTGGCTCGTAAACCTCTAAAATACTTCTGGTGTAAAGGTCTCAGTTCCCTATAGCCAAAATATTTTTGTAAAAGAATATGTTTCTGGCAGCATTTTAGTAACATGTTTTAACATTGACTCTGCACATGCTGCTTTCAATAGGGTCATCAATGTTACTGCCTATTACTTTAAACATACAACCATACAAAATGGAAATACTCTTTTATATGCAAAGCAGAAACAATAACAGAATTCGGGCATCTATAAACTACCTGATTAGGGGTTGAGGTGTGTGATAGAAAAATGAACGACAAATGTAATTTACGAATTTACGAATTTTCTTGAAAAGGATTTTGATACGAAGACAGAGGATACAGTGACAACAAGGTACAGGAAAGAGGATCCCTAGTTGATTAGAATGTTCAGCGATTAGGGAATGGGAGAGGATTGCAGTCGAAACACACACTGGACTGCTTTCTGATTATTAAGTATGAGACCCTTTTCCAACGACCATGCCGAAATGTGGTTCTAGCCATCCATCAAAAAACTGGTTTTTGAAAGGGTGACCAACGACCATATCGTCAGCATACTTTACATACATACAGTCATTTGGCTACCTAAATTCATAAGTATGAGAAGATAAAAAGGAACATCGAAGGACCTCACAGTTACTGGGAAGAACACGTTATTTCCGAATGAATCACGTCACACCTATGTATATTCAGTTTCAGTTTATTAAGGGAAATATAGGCGAGCGCCTTTAAACTCCCTACTGGTTACAAGTCGTCGGAGAAAACATTGATAATGGGAAGGTGAAAAGGAAGGTGAAAAAAATCGCTGACAGCTATTCAAAAAAGAGTAATCAATAATGGTTACTAACTAGTTACCAGTAGTATAAATAAGTTTAAGTTGGTGCCGGTTATGTGGGTGGATGTAAGGCTGGTAACTGGGAGGCTTGATGCGCGTCACCTATATATTTTCTATTCATTGGCTGTCGTTTGCGGATCTCATAGGCACTGGGGTGTTCTAGTCTGGTTCAGGTCATAATGGACACTGAAATGGCCGCAACTGTCTGAAGGCATGAAAGGGGCCAGAAATGCCGACTTCGCTCCTCCCCTCCGCCTGTACCGGCGTCACTTATTGAGTAATTATTATTCAGCGTCAGACCATCACTTGTGATGAATTATCTAGTCGAAGCTCCAAGCCGCGACAAAATCACCAGAAGTTCACCCTACTTCATACCGAACAGACGTGAAGCATCTGGAACTATTTTGATCAACAGCCTCCCCGACATTTACAGTATCATCTGTTTGTTCAAAATAAAAGTTGAAGACTTCAAACACGAATAAGGTTTTATGTTTACTTATACATAAGAACAGGTTCTATTCTCCAATTCAAAAAGATACGAGTATTTCACTTTCCCCCCTCCCTCTCGCTGTTCTCCTCGGGTGACCTGATATGGAGTGACCTGATCAAAATATAAAAGTGAGGCTTCATTGGGTCTTGCCGAACGACCGGTAAAACCCGCCATACCGACGGCCGAAAAGAAAACTCTGTTCCTTAAAGTCCCTTTTCAAGGGAACGCTGCGAGTGAACTCCTAAAGAGACGCCTTGATCAAGCTGTTTCGCGAACCTTCCCAGCGGCAAGGGTTCAAGTGTCCTTCCCTACCAACCCTATTTTACGCGGAGAAGGTAAGGATAATTTACCACTCCAGACCACTTCAATGTGCATCTATTCCTTTTCTTGCTCCTGTGGAGCAGGTTGTTTTGGTCGTGCGAGTCGGCTCTTACTTAAGAGAATACGGGAACATATCCAGGCATGGCTGGGAAAAGGTGAAACTAGGAGCATAAGCAGTGCCATTCTCGCGCATGTTGTCAATTCCGGACATCATGTAGACCCCAATGAAGCGGTTCGTGTGATCTAAGAGGTCCCATCGAGCTATCCTGACCACTGGGACAGCGCCTGTTAGCAACAGCAGAGGCGGCCGCCATCAGGTTGCGAAAACCAATTGTGTGCGCGCAGAAGAACCACGTTCAGGCACCGCGCCTACAGTGGTCGAAGGTCGACCAACGCTACAACTCCCCCCGCGTCCTTCTACTCTCCCCACGCCCCTTTCACTGACTGCTATTACCCCCCCCCCTTTCCCCACATTCCCGCACTCAGCCTGTGTTTTAAGGCGAACTTTAATCGATTTATCTTATCACTGACGTGTTTTACTTCTACCCCCATCCCAGATAATTGTACTGGCCCGACGAGAATTTATCGAAAGCTACGTGTGCTCCTCACCTCGTCTTCTGATTACTGCTATGGAAATTTTCGCAACTCTAAGTAAAATGTAGGCAGGACTGCCTTAAGTGAACTGATCAAAATATAAACAGTGAGGCTCCATTGTGTCTTGCGTAAGTAAAATTTAGGCCTGACTGACCTAAGCGGACGTCTAAACTGGACACGAGATCAGAACCGTCTGCAACACGGGTGACTTCAGGGCAACTTCCAGTTAAATCAGGGTTAAGGACAGGGTTTAAGGCTAGACTTAAAGTTGACGTCAAGGTAAGTGAGGGTCAAGTTTAGGGTTAGGGTAGGGGATAGTGTTAATTACTGAGTGAAGGTTTAGGGAGGAGTTAGGGTCAATACTAAGGCAACGATTTAGTTTTGTACTACGGTTATTGTCGGAGTTAGTACACGGGAACACTTTACCCTTTTTAGAATTATGCTCAGGCCCACCGTTATTCCATGTCCTGTTTAGACGTCCATATACGTCAGTCCTGCCAAAATTTATAACAAAGATCGGAGTCATCCAGTCATCGCACCCTATGCCCGCAATGGAAAGTCCACATGTCTTCTAAATACGACGTCGACGGCGTTGCTCAGATCGATCTAGACAAGGTTCAGCAAGATGCGGTTTTGTCACAGGTGGAAGACAACTTAGGTTGTAGTGTTGCGACTCGAATGCAAGAGGATATACGACTTCCATTTCGCTTCAGAAGTTCACTGCATCGTCTATTTATGCCACTAATAAAACCCCCAAGTTCTGCCCTAAATCACTCCAAGCCTTCTTTATTTCATCATTCATTTAGAAAGTTCGACTGGTGCTATATATCTGCCCGTATAACAGTCCCCGTATATTCGCAGGTGCACTAAAATCGGGCCATTTTAGGCACCTGACTGCGCCTTAACCGCACGCACAATCACTGTACGGTTTGTTTGTTGAAGTAGAGAACACGCATTACCGTCAATAGGAGTGAAAATGCGATTCCCAGGTGGCATATCAAAGGAAGAAGAGGCATTCACCGGTAGGGGTTTATTGGAGGTCCGACGTTTTGAGTGGTTGATTCGTCTACCCATCTTCAGAGACTGGAAGGTCCTGCGCACAGCTCCTCTTATATGGCGCACTTTGTTCAGTGCGTGACCCGCCAGGCAACGGTGACATGCGTATTGGATGCAGTGTGCCAGATAAGGGGGGCTGTGCGCAGGACATCCCAGTCTCTGAAGATGGGTCAGTATAGGTCAGTATATTTTAAGGGTAATAGGCAATGCCTTTGAAAACCCTATTGTAAACGGTACATGCAATATGTAACTTTAAATAAACACAGTACTAAAATGTTGTCAGTAATATATACACTTAACATAATGTTTTTCGTTGGAAATGCAGGACCGAAACTCAAACACATTCAGTTGTAGATGATATCGGTAAAATGCAATGACAGTCATCCGCATTAGCGGTAGGTGTATGCAAGGCGTTGGTTTGGCAGACGAATCAATCACTCGAAACGTCGGACATTCAATAAACCGATAGAAGCGAACAGGCGAGTTCCAGGTAGCAGTTCAGAAGATGAAGATGCGATCACTGGAACAAGAAATC